GAAGTTTTGAAGTTACCCTGGTTGAACTTCAAGAATGAAAAAAGACTTCACGAGAAAGCCGTTGTAAAATTCTTACCGGATATCCGAAGCCACCCATTTCCAAGGTCTTCTCCAAGTCGGGGTGGGACCTGGCTGGCGCCCAGAGCCATCTGCAAAGAAATAAATGCCATGTTTACTCAAAAAAGAGCAAAATGTCGCATCATCGCCATAAATGAATAGTCCTTTGAAAACCACCGTAGCCAAATGAATTTAGGCAAGATGACACAACCTACCCCCAGTCATTTTCTTTGAACTTCTCGGCACTCTTCTTCAGCAAGTCGATGTACTTGTTTCGACACTTGGATTGACAGTCCAAGAGATGAGGCAGGACGGCAATGATGCAGAGCTGTTTCTCTGTGCAGGCGTTCTGCAGGACGGTATTGCTGGTTATTTCCAGGACTTCCGGCGGCGGTTTGTTTTTGGCGAGCCGCTTCAACGCCCAGGCCACGATATCTTCAGCTGACCGTCCACCATCATAATCTCCGGCGGCGCCGGACTTAACTCCAGCCGGGAAAAGTTTGATTGTTGGGAAACCTTTAATCTAAGATAAAGCAAGAGGCGTTATTAAAAGCAAAGTTTGAAAACGGCACACTAGTTAATTCAAACTTTGCAGACTATGCTAGGGCTCGCGTGCACATTTTTCACAAAAGTCTACTAGCAAATTGCTGCGCAAAAAGTGAAACTGAATCGCGTGGGTGTTTATAAATTATATTCACTGATTAGGTCCATAATAACGCCTTATAGTAATCGGGGACACAACCTCGGATTTTTTTCAAGTATGATATCTATCAAGAACTCACTGAAGACAGTTGAAAGTAAATCTATGCGTGCATTGTGGCTATGGGAAAGTTTACCCCCATTTCTGTGCGAGGGTTTGTTGGAAAAATATCGGAATATACCACTAAGAAAGATCTCACTCAATGTCTGCAGCTGTGATAGTTCACTCCAATAAAACCTATCTTCGACTGGATTTCAGATTACCTGGAAACATTGAAAAGTACTTCCTTAAGATGGGCATACATGACTCTTATGAGGAAATAACGTATGGATGCGATGCTTGCCTAAAACGTCAAAATGTAAGTGTTAGGAAAATTTCGACGAAGACCACTAATAGTCGCCGCATAAAACTCCATGCCAACAGAGGACTGGGGTTTATTAGAAGTATTAGTAGAACGGGAAACAGAACAGACCTCCACTTGGTAAAATGGGCTAGAGGTAGGCAGGTGGAAATAAGAGTGATTTAATCGGGAATGCATACCGAATAGCGCTGAGCAAGAGACTGATGGATGGTGGCGTCGATGGCACCTAGCTTCATTTTACCACCCAATTTCTTCGCGGCCAACTCCCACTGCGGTTTGAGTGATTTACCTATGAAAGCGAGAAGCAGACATCAAAATCGGACAATAATCGTACGAAATAATAAAAAAAGTGTTCTTTAGGGTGTGCGGGCTGGAAACGACGGGTAAACCGGACCTTTATATACACAATCAGTGG